ATTTCAAGTTCCACACTGTTGTTAAGAAAGAGTTTGATCTGATGTGCACAGAGAAACACTTGAAACGTGTGACCCGAAAAGCTCAAGTAACAAGGGGCAAGTGCACATGTACAAAATATCATTTTAGAAATGTTATGATTTTCAAGCTTATGTAAGTACTTTTGTATGCAATGCCTCTCATGTTGGAGTTTCTTTTTTCTTAACATATAGATTTGACAGTAAGGGAAATCTCACTGTAGGGTCAAAGTGGGCAGCATTGAAACTTCTTCCTTCAAAGTGCCGCGGAGCTGCTGACCTCACAAAAAAGTGCATGGAAAACAGTACAAGAACTGGACCAGTTAAAGGTGATCTGGCTTTTGACATCTTGTAATGCAGAGGGATTAGAAGTCAGTGTCAAAGCCTGCAAGAGTCTAAGGAATAGTCACAATTTCTTCCCAGGAGACCAGAGGAAAAGTCAGGGCCGAGAAGTCAGAGAACACACAGTGGAGAATTTTTCTGGGGCTCAGTGCAGGGTTCAGTACAAGTGAAACGGACCCTGCAAGCCAAACCAAAATGTTTCTGAAAGATGTCTGCCACTTTTAGACAGGCCATACAGAACAATGAATACAGATGGATTTGAACTCCAGTGACACCAATTTTCCTTTTTGTAATTTTCTTTTTGCCAAAGGAACTTTTGGCAAAGAAAACATTGCTCCAAAAGAAAGATGCCGTGGTTGGCTTTTTGACAGCAAATTTCTGTAGATCCTAATGAAGGAGACTCACTTTAATTTGACTGCACAGAATTACTCACTGATGTCTTTCTTATTTTCTTTCCTTGTTCCCTGTGTTGATATTGGTATATAGTCCCCAGATTCTGTGCAACTGCAGATAATTTCCCATACTCAAGAAATTTTTGCACAAAAAAGAAACCCAAACTACTCATGGTTTGAAAGAAACAAATGTACACAGATAAATAAATATATAAACTTTGTGAAAAACAACTGTTTTCCCTGCAGTTCAATTTCATCACTATAAATATGAAAAAGTAGTGATAAAACTGTATCCATTAGATTACAAGGCGAAGAAATTTTGTTACTTGGTATGAAGGAGAGCTATTTTGCTTATAAAAAGTAAAAAGCAGTGTGTAGTTGTTAATGGACATGTTTATGGCCACAGGCTGGTATAGCTCAATCTTTTTTCCGAACATACAGATTTGATGAAGACCTATTTTGGGCAGGATGCCCTATTGTGTTAGGACTTGTTTTTCTTGTGTTCCAATGGCTGATTAATTCCTGATTTTTTTTTTTTTTCCATCTGTGAGTGTGCCTTTCTGAGAATTTTTGCTTTGTTTTCTTGAACAGAAAAACCTCAAAAGCCCAAACAGAATTTCAGCATCCATTTGGACTGGAAAACATAGTTAGAAGGTTTAGAAAGCAAAAATTGCCCTTTTTTTCGTTTTTAACCAATACTGTAGTCAAGCAGGGAAAAAAAAAAAACAGCAAGGAAAAGCAGCTGCAACTGAAAGAAATTAAGTGCAAAGAGTATGAAATACAATTTTGAGTTGCTGTTTTATTTATTGTGAGGACAATAATAGGACACACTTAGATGATGTTGAAACATGGTCCAAGGGATAGGAAGACAATTAATTAGTGACAAAAGAGACCTCTGGCAGGTTGATTGACACACAGATCTGTTTTCTAAAAGCATGTTCAGACCCTCTTATTTTTTAGGACAGCCTTTGGACAGAGCCTGGCTTGTTTAGATAGTGTTGGTTAATAAGGATACTGAGCAAGTTGCTGAAGATAATTATGCATTTGCTGGAAGGGGGGATTGTTTCATCCTGTTGAAGTGAACTCTGTGTAGTAAAACATTATCACTCCACTGTACTGAAAGTAAACATTTCAACTTTGATATTATTTGTCAGCTATGGAGAGTGGGAACAGTGGAAAAAAGCCAGGGCCCAGCCTCCGCTCTGGATGGAGGAAATTTCAGCTCCTCATTATCTTGATGGGCAAAGATGCAGCTTGGTTCTGCAGTGCTGGATTATCTGAGCTCCAGATTCCACCAGGCTTCTTGAGCCTGGCTGAACAAACGTTGCCAGGCTGCTCCCCCACTTGCGTTTGGGATGGGGTTCTGCAGGAAGATTGAAGACATAAATAGCACGGTTTTAGGTCTGTGAACCTACAGGGGATAAACATGTCAGAGTGTGGGAGAGCAGACAGGATCTTCCACAAGTCATCTTCCCTGGTAGCCCATTCACGAGGAGTAATCTTCACTCCTGTTTTCTCCTGCACCAAAACTCACACACAAAAGCACTTTGGCAGTCTCCTTTCCATATGCAACTAACAGAAATTGCTGGGGGAATCAGGTGCCAAATTAGCTATTAATCACCTTAGTAACTTTGTAGTTTTATTTTAAGGCTAAATTCCCCATAGGCTTCACTGACTTTCCCAAAACTTTTAGTGGCACAAAAAGTCCATATATTTGCATCGGAATCCAGAACGCTTCCTGCCAGACAAGGCTCTTAAGGCAAGGTGCATCCTAGTTTCCATAGGTGGTGATCCAAGTATTGGTGCACCTGTCAGAGAAAGCAAATTTGCACATTTGGGTATTCATCTTGTCATTGCTGTTGCTTTGCTCAAGCCATAGATGTTCTTCTCTGGGTTGTCATTCTCACACCACAACCTGAACCTGAAAAGCACCTGCAAGGATGGGGTGAAGAGCTGCAAATCACCTCCAGAGACTGCCCTTAGGTGTGAGATCAAGCATATCCTGATGAGAGATTCCCAGGCAGAAGAGTTCTGGGACAATATTGGTCTGAGGGCTGGTTTCTGGGTCATAAGGAGAGAAATTACAGTGGTACAGGCAAAGTCCTTCCACTGACCTTGCGAGCTTTGTCTCTGGCTCACAGAGCCAGATTTGTGTTGTGGTGTGAAAGCATCTTGATTCTGTATTTGATAGGAGAGCCTGACAGCATAATTATCCTGTGATAGGAGGAAAGCTCCTAGAAACAAAATCTTATATCCTATGTATTATGCTTGTGACAAAAATACTTACTTATGACCAAATTAGTTTGGTGAGGCAGATATAAATTAAGCTCCTTCTGGTGTTCACACAAATCAAAATTTGGAATTTAAAGAGAGGCTATCCTGGTACTATACTGGTAAAATAAGATTATCATTCCCCCTGCAATATGCTTAAAATCCTTACAGTAATTTCAATAGGACAAATAATTTTTCTCTCCATGTCAGAATGACCCCCTGGGAAACAGCGGGAGGTACATCATGTGCCAATTGAAAGTGGAATACGAAACAAAAAACACAAGGCATCACAATTTTTATTGTGGTTACTACAAGGACCATAAATCCTGGCTCTGAGGATTCCTTTTCACATCTGTTTTTCTTGTTGACATCTCTTTAGTTATTGTCTCAATCTCCTCTTAAGTGTAAGATGTGCAGGGTGCCTCAGCGTTTTGGTTGTCATAGTGAGGTAACCCAAGGCTTTGCATTCATGTGATGACACTGCTCTCACTGCTGGCAGCGCAACAGCCCTTGAAGCATATCCAGTCCCTCCACATGTTGGGGAAGACTGCAGTTAGTGAAGAGGGCAAGAGTCTCATCATCAGTCTCTTGTTGGCTGCTTTCTTTCCAAACAGGGAAAAAGCCTGCACATACACACTTCAAGAGGGATGAAGCTAGGATGTGGTGCTGTGCATTACAAATTTCCCTGGCTCTCTGGAGCAAAAGACTCCCCTAGCTGAGTATGTGAGCAGAGCTGCTAATAGATGTGCCAGGTTCTCAGCCTCTCCAGCGGTGAAATGGGAACCAGCTTGACACAGCTTTGCCATTCTCAGCTGATGTTTTATTGCTGTAATTTGGTATAGGCAAGTATAACAGGGTTGGGAATTGGGACCTAATACCTGTTGCATCCAGTGGGAGTCACATACCCCACTAGCATGGATTGACTCCTTACAACAGTTTTACAAACTGTTCAGACTGGCACACTGAGTAAATATACACTTCCCCTAATAAGTATACACTTGCCTTCCACACAAAGCCCCCAGAGCATTCACACTTTTATACAAGCATTTACAGAGGAAAGAGCACTAGCCCTATAATTGTCCACATCAAAATCTGTTTATTTAGAGAAGCTGTTTATTATTCAGCTGGAGGTACCAAGAGTGATATAGCAGAGAATTGCCACAGTATTAACAGCTGAGGAGTGGCCATCACCAGCATTATTGTTTATTGCCTTTCCAGAGCTCTGAGCCTTGTTTATAAGCATTGTAACTAAAGAGCCAGAGCTCTCTTTATTTGCCACCAAGTGAGCCTGCAGGGTAGAGCAGGGGAAGAAAGCTTGGGGAAGGCATTGTGGTCACTAGTTGTTACAGGTGCAGTAACTAAAAATGCTTACCTCTCCAGAACCCACTCTGTCCTGTGGTATTTTTTCTTTCAGAAATGCCTACATTTCTCAGTACTTTATATAAGTGTTTGACTGTAGGGCTGCGCTAATAAATGTTCACCGGAATATAAAATATGTACTGTATTTAGTGAATAATAGATTATAGATAACTCTAAGCATATCACATAAAATGCTGTAGGTGTTTATGAGCCATTAGTAAGCAATTTATTATTGATCAGGAAGGGAAGGAAGGATAACATATTTATTACAACCCATGAATCCTGTATTAATCCTTTTGAAAAGATGTTAAAGTCTTGGTTAGAAATGAAGTGCGAGCCACTGGATTTTTAGCAGTAGGCTCTCTGGCCAACAGCTGATAAGATCACACCACAGTCTTGGCAGCTTTGAGACACTCCAGAGCATTGTTGACCTGTCCTGTAGTCAAACATGTAGCCTTTTGTTTTAGTACCTCTCAGCAGCCGTAATTTTCCTTTGGTACATCACAATTTGCATCACTTTCACATGATGCTTTCCTTTAAGAGCTGACACTCTTTTTTTCACTCCCCAGCTAAATCTGTTTCTTCCCTCTTCTATGTGTTTTGCACTCCTCTTCTCCCCAGGGTGAATGCTCACGGAAGTGCTATGACATCTTTGTGCTGGAGACGGTGTGTGTGGCGTGGTTTTCCTTTGAGTTCCTGCTGCGATCCATCCAGGCAGAAAACAAGTGTGCTTTCCTGAAAACCCCGCTCAACATCATCGACATCCTGGCCATTCTGCCTTTCTACATCTCTCTCATCGTGGATGTGGTTTCCACAAAGAACAGCAGCAAGCCCGGCGGGGGAGCCGGGAACAAGTACCTGGAGCGCGTGGGGCTGGTGCTGCGCTTCCTGCGGGCGCTGCGCATCCTGTACGTGATGCGGCTGGCGCGGCACTCGCTGGGGCTGCAGACGCTGGGGCTCACCGTGCGCCGCTGCACCCGCGAGTTCGGGCTGCTCCTGCTCTTCCTCTGCGTCGCCATGGCCCTCTTCTCGCCGCTGGTCTACCTGGCTGAGAGCGAACTGGGAGCCAAGCAAGAGTTCACCAGCGTCCCCAGCAGCTACTGGTGGGCCGTGATCTCCATGACAACGGTTGGCTACGGGGACATGGTGCCTCGTAGCATCCCCGGACAGGTGGTAGCCCTGAGCAGCATCTTGAGTGGGATTTTGCTGATGGCTTTCCCAGTCACATCCATCTTTCATACCTTTTCCCGTTCCTACAGCGAGCTGAAGGAGCAGCAGCAGCGAGTAGCCAGCAGGCAGGTGCGCCAGCGGCAAGAGAACACCGAGCTCCTGGGTGGTGACAGTACAGGGGGGCTCAGTGCCACATTCCCGCCAAGCGCTGGTAAGCAGGGTCTGACCTTGGTGCACCAGTAAGCCTAGAGAAGCTCTTGACCCTGAACAGCTCAGGACATACGTTGGCAGCCCAAGAAGCAGTGGACAAGGGAGGTCAGTTCTGCAGGAAGAATGCCATGAACTGCATAAATGAGGGGCAGACAAACACAAGGTTTCTCTAAAGACCAACTTCTGATCTTAAGGGACCTCTGAAAAGTACCCCTACAAATTCTACCAAGTACAGCTCTGCTCCATTGCTTTTCTTAGGGCTTTTCTATTGAGCAAGTATTTTTGGGTATGCCCAAGGAGCAGCCATTGAACATAGCCAGCCAGCAGAATGTAGTGTGAAGCACAGCCCATGCCAGGTGCCATGTGTCACAGCAACCAGCATGCCACCTCCTCTGGGCCCTGCTCAGTGGCAGGGCTGAGCAAGGGGCTCCCTGTGCTGCGACGCCCCACAGCACGTTTGTTTTGGCAGCACCACCAAGGAACACAAACGTCAGACAAGCCAAGGGGCGAGGGCAAGAGAAGGGCAGAAGCATTCCCTCAGCCTCACCAGGGGCTTGCTTTTGTCTTCTGCAGATGAAGCAGCACAGCAAGAGTGCTGCCAGCTCTGAATTGTGTGTGAGCACAGTTTGCATTATTTAGTAGAGATGCATATTTACCATCCTAAGCTTTATATCTTACTTAGTCCCATGACAGAAATATACATACAAAAAATCTTCCTGACTACGGTACTGAATGTTAACTTGGTTATTTTTCCTTTGCTAACAGTCAAATATTAAAAATACTATGACAAATGATGACATTTCTCCACTTTCTGTTAACTGTTTCCATCTCTTGTGTATTGAGAAATGTGTTTAACAGGCAATTGAACCAACCTGAACTACGTGTAGCTCAAGGGGAGGGTGATGTTGGACCAGCAGCGACTCCCAGCTCTGCACAGTCGTCCTCAGTGGTGATGGCTGCACGGAGTGCAGTTGTGTGCAGACAGGAGTAGGGGAGCAGGACAAACCCAGTGCAGCCAGCGAGACACCATCAGTGGGCTCGGCCCAAGCTACAGTGCAGCAGCTGTGCTCTGCCTTAGGAGTAGCCTTTTGGTTTTGCCCTCCTACCGAGAAAAAGACAATCCTGTCATTAGAACAAGTGTTCTGGCTCTTCTTCCTGATTCTCAAAGGATTTAAGTCACTATAAAGGGAAATTAATCATATGGTGGCATCTGCATATTTGCTTATTGATGCCAGCCCCGTGCATGAGCTTTCCCTAGAGGAGCTGTGTAGCTGTTCCAAGTCAGGATGCTGTGTGGGTCTTTCAGTGCTCCTACAGGTGGGATGCGGTCAGGGAATGGAGGGAGATGGAAGCCAACAGTCTCTTGTACCTACACCCCTATTTGTACTAAAGCCATGCAGTGTCACCCTCCATATTCTCCACCCACCAGGAAGGGAACAAAACCTGATGTACTGAAGATGGGATTTGTCTGGTCTGTTATTTGGTTTGTTATTTTTTGCCTCAACATATGTTGTAAAACTAATCCTACGTTACAAAACTCTCATATTAAGCCATTCCTTATAGGAATGAAGCAAGGGAAATGGAAAAGTTACGCTTTATTTTAATAAAAATATAAAGCTTTGTTGCTGACTCACTGTGTCTGATTATTTGGGTGTGGAGGGAGGTGGTGTTTTGCTGTGCTGATGTGAATTAACTCGTGTTACTTGCTGCTGAGCACTGCAGGAGATGGAGGCAGCAAAACTGAGCCCCCCTACCCAGGATGCACCTGGCTCAGCAAAGCCCCAGCTGTGTTGAACTGCAGGCAAACCAAGCGCAGGGGCCCACGCCAGGGTTCTGCCCATCCTTCATGGCCCAGCAGCACCGGGAACACATCTGCTCCTTGTGCGAGAGAGGAGGGCCAAGGGCTGATGGTGCCTGGGCTGACTCAGACTCCTGGCAAAGCAATGCCAGCAATGGGTTGCTGTGACTCATGAAAGATTTTAATTTTATTGGTTTTTTTTTTTTATTCCCAGTGCAGACATTTCTTTCATTAAGGATTATTAAGGTCTGACATCAGGGATCCAGCTTCGGAGCCAGCTGACTGCAAACCAGCGACGGGAGCAGTGGCTGGGGGACAGTGTGGCCTGGTGCTGAGGAGCAGCACTGCATCTTCTGGTGGCATTCAGATGCTCAGTCTTAAGGTGGCACCTGACAGGCTCACTAGGTGGACTCACAGGTTCACTCCTCATGGTGATTTGGCTCATGCACACCAGGTGTGCTTCATGCTCTGTCTCCAGTGTGAATGAAGCGACCATGGCGAGTGCACGTGGAAGGTGCAGAATGCATCTCCTCGAAGTGGTGAAGCCCAAAAACTGCAAACATCCTTACCTAACTACTAGAAAAGCCACGCTGGAGTTGACATCCTTGGGGAACGAAGAGTTTCACACTCGCAGTGCTAGCAAATAACCATGAATCAATGCATCTTTTGGCTTTGAAGCATCAAAAAAACAGTGCTGGGACAGCAAACTGCAGCTCAGCAGCTGTGAAGAAAAACAGACTGATGACACATGCCATATTGCTGCTGTTCTCCATCAAGTTGCTATTGTCCTACAATAGCGAGATCTTTGTATTTTTCAAAAGGCACATAATTAATTCCAGCATGCACAGAGTTTTAATAAAGTGACAAAACCCACTCATTGTCTCCTAGTCAAAGCCTGGCTTTTAATAAAATTTCATTTTATCTATTGGGATGGCAGATGAGGAAACAAATATAAACCAGGAACCTTTTAAACAGATTATTTTTGGAAGCTATATAAAGTTGTGATGCACACATTGCCAGACATAAAAAACACTCAGAGGAGAATAAATTTCACCCAGGGCACCCGTTGTTATAGGTGATGCTTATTGCTTTTGGTCAGCTGCTGGAGAATGTTGGTTTTGTTGAGTATAGTGGATGGAGTTTTTTGACACTGCACACAGATGATTTTAAGGCCATTTATCTCTAACTATAATAAATGCCACACTGCTGTCTGCTGGCACACCACTACCACCAGGTAGTAATACCTGTTTCTTTGAACAGCTAAGTGCTTCATGATTGTAGCACACTAGTTTTGCCTCAAGGAAAAAGAAAAAAAGGAGAAAAAATATTTCTCTCTCTCATATGGGACAAAGACTCAAAACGTGAGCAAAGACATCTCTTTTACCATGGTGGATGTCCACCTACACATACACCTTCGTGGCAGCATGCATGGATCTAGACCTACAAATTCTGGCAGCTGGCAACACCAGTCATGAAAACCACAGCTTAGGAGAGTTAAAGATGTGTTAAGTGGTGAAGGGACAGAGCCGAAGGGAATGGCACCAAGTCAAACACAACTTCAGCTCATACAGTGCATGTGCATGGCCACCTCAATGGCACAGTTAAGAAAAAGCAGTAATGTAACGAAAAATGTGATGCTGGTGTCATCTCCTCAGCTTGTCCCACACTGCTGAGGCCAGCACAGGCACAGGCCATGGCAGCCTCTGCAGATGCTGCAGGGGGCAAAGGATCCTTGGCACCTACAAGCCACAGCCTTAGAGGACTGTGAAGCCTTGGCATGGAAGAGGACAGAGGCACATGGAAGGGCTGATGGGTGCAGAAGTGCAGTGTGGTGCTGCTGGCCCATCTGTGGCTGAGTGAAGCCCCTCAGTCTCCCAGCCAGCACCTACCAGAGCCAAGTGCACATAAGCTGGGACACAGAAGGGCAGGAGGGGGCTCTCAAATGCTGTATTTGCTGTCAGTGCATTTCTAGATGCTGACATCCCCTTGGGACTGGCTGCTTTACAAGGCTGTTTACAGGAAGACCTGCCCATGACCCCAGGGTGACCCTCACATTATGTTCTAGTCCCCACCTTTTATTTACTGCTGTTGGCACAGGTATCCAGAAGTGTTTATTTATTGGCACACTGCTCGCTCTCATATTGGTGTCTTCTTTCTTACAGAAAGCCTCCAACAAAGCTACAGTTGTCAGTCAGGTCCTTGAAATCTGCTTGGCTCTCGAGCCTGAGGATCACAATCAGATTTAACAAACAGAACCTGTGGGCCCAATTTTGCTTAATACCCAGTACCAAATGTGAGCTTTATGTCCTAAATTTTTTTAATTGCACCTAACTGCATGCATGTCAAATATCTAACCATGAAATTTCTCCCTCCCTGGAGTCACAGTGCAGACCACTGCCTGCCATGCACAGCAGAGGGAGAGATTTGCCCTGAGGGAGGCCTGGGGCAGTGCTGGGCTGGTACAGCACCCAGAGATGGGGTTCCCCATTGTTTCCTTTGGGGCCAGTCCCACCACTGGCTGCCCCACAGTGAATGCCAAAGCAGCAGCCAGTAATACCAGCACTGGCTGGGAGAGAAGGTGCAGGCACTGCAAGTGTTGATCAGGCTTGACTGCTGTGAGAACTGCTTGGGTCTCCACTGCCAGCAGACTGCAAGAGAGCAGGCAGGGCTTACTCCCCACCCTCATATTCCCACCCTTTTTGCTGATTTTGCTGATCCCACCATCCTTTCCTACCCATTTTGCTGATTTACCTTCATGTTTTGATTTTCCTTCTATCCCTTCCCTTCAGGAGTATCACCTTTCAAACCCTTATTTGAGCAAGCTCAGTCTGCCCCACATCTCCTCTCGCCCTGCCCAACCCTCTCTCTTACACCTGCAGCCCTCCCCCCTCCCCAGCTCCCCTTCTGCAGCTCCTGCAGCGTGGCACACAGCAATAGCAAAGCACCTCTCCATGCCAGAGCAGCCCAACATCCTGGATCAGCAGCCTGGCAGGATCCAGGAGGTGCACAGCAGCTGCAAGGCTGCTCCTGACAGCCTTGGCTTGTTTTCCCATCCAGAAGGAACAGGGAGGGTGGTTAAGACTTCTCTTAGAACAGTAGCTGGCCATGAGATGACAGACTCAATGTCCTCATCTTCTGTGCAGAGGCTGCCAAGAGCACATCCCTCATCTGTATCCCATCTTCAACCTCATTTTGCAGCCTGCATGATACAGGGTGCCTTTAAAGCTATGTAATAATCTGTTAGCAATTTGGTTTTTACTGTGGTTAAACACAAGTTATGTGGTCTCAATGGTTAAATTTACCCTGGTATGTACTGAAGAGCAGGGAACAGAAATCCAGAATCCCTGCTGCGCATCATGACATCAGGAAAATTTCTGCCTTGTGCTTACTCACCCATCAGAAGGAAAAACCATGCTAGTTATTTGTATCAACAATGCTCCTGACAAGAAGATTTATAGGAAGAGTTAAGAAGCACACATTTTGTACCTGAACAAAACAAAGCAACTCTGCAATTTATATATAATAGGTAATTTTTATTAAAAAAAACATTGCAACTGACAGAAAAAATCAAGTCCGTGAAATGTGCCATACATTCAAAGAGAAGTATTTAAAGAAAGCGATTTCTTATTCTCTGAGGTGATCATTGAAACAGATACTTCCTGACAATTAGAGAACAAAACAAAAGTTCTGTAACACTTTGTCCCTAAAGTACCTTGCAAGAAGTTCTAGAGTTCCTGGCCAAGAGTCCTACTTGCTAAATGCCACATACAAAAGATGACTTAGACATGGTTTCACTGGCTTCTCTTCCAGCATTTGCTGCTCTGGTGTAAATGAGACTGATCCGCAGAGCTCGCTGGTTTAGGTACTGGTGACAGACTCAAGAATCCACCCAAGGAAGAATCCCAAAAGGAAAAAGCAGAAATTGTTTTATCCTCAGTAATATCTGTAGTTCAAAGCCAAAGACGTGGCCAAAAGTGTGCACTCCCAGTGAAGCTGTAACATACCAAAGTAAGTTTCTTATGAACCAGAAATTTCTTGCATCCCTGTTTTGCAGAATATTAGAAAAAGACCACCAAATACAAAAATCTTACCATTACAAGTTATTAAAAAAACCCTTCAGACAATTAAAACACACAACAAAGTGTTTGTTTTCTAACAGTAGAAATACAATCCTCATTAAAGCAGCATACCGGAGAAGCCAGTTATGTTTTCAATTAAAAAAGACAAAAGCCCAGATGTTCTTGTAGCACAACCAGAACATTGGAGAAAAGAGAGGAACAAAACATTCATAGCCTGCCATGCTGAGTACATTGTCTTTGTAAGGTCACTTCAGGCCTAGAAGAGTATGGTATTGAACAAAGAGCAGGGAGTCAGTGCCTGGGCACGGTGTGACTCCCCTCCACTGGACAGTTTGCCACCAATCCAGACAGTCCAGACTCAAATCGTGAGGTTCTCAAAGAAAGCACGGTAGGGGAATTATCTGACTTACACACTGAAGTCATCAAACCTCATACTTGCTGCCACTGCTAAGAAAACAGAAGCTCTTGGGCTATTCTTAGAGAAAAAATTCTTCTGAAAAATCTGTCCAACACCTTGGCTGTGGCCAGACAGGACTCACCCAGCAGAGGGAGGAAGCCTCATGAAGGAAGCAGCACAGGCACAGCTGTTGCTGGGACCGAGGGCATTGCTATGGCCTCCTCACATCACCCGGGGCAGGTTCATGACAGCAGTGTCACAACAGGAGCCCAGGGGCTTGGTCACAGCCCCACGGGTGCACACCACCAGGGCTGCATGTCACAGACAGAGTATGGTGGCCTGTGCTGGCTGATGACCTTTAGAGTCAACATCTACATGAACTCTGCTCTTTTAGTCCCTCTCAGTACAGCCTGCTCATTCTTCTAAAAGAGAAAAACCTCTTCTTTAAGAGCCCAACAGTTCACAACAGTAAAAGAAAAACATGGACCCCTTCCTTGTTGGGCCAATGCAGGAAACACCCCAAAACATAACCCGGCTCTTGTTTGGCATTGAACAACATGAACACGAATCTCAGCCTCAACAAATCAAGTTGTCAGATGCTGGTCCTACTCCAGGGGATTCAGCTTGTTCCTCCATCTCAAACTTTTTCATTTCTGAGCCAATGAAAGTGGACCTGCTTCTACCTCTGTGGCTCAATCACATCTAGAAATACTTGCTTGGCAATACTGGCAATGCCCACTGCTGGCCGCTCGGTTTGGGAAAGACCCTGCATCCCAGCTGTGTCCTGTGCACAGCTGCAGGGGCAGCACTGCCCCCAGGTGCAGGGCAGGCTATTCCCACACCCCACAGTTTCAAAGCACGAATACCTAAGTTCCCAGAAATCACCTGCTGGCTCCTCCTTTTGCCTGGATGTTTGACTGGCTGTGCCAGCTCTAGACGTGACTCCAGCACCATCAGACCCCCTCCACCATCTCCTCCATGTGTCCTGCAGCAGGGATGAATATCTGCTGACCCTTTAGCTTTACAGCATCTGTGGTCGGCTCATTTCTGGCTGCTCACCTCTTTGCAGGGCCTCCCACCCCCACCTTCTCTCACCAGACATCCTTATAGGGAAAAGAGAAAGCTCCTGGATTTGCTCTTCAATACTGCTTCCTCCATCATGGAGATACTGAATGCTAGTATATGCCACAAACCTCCTGCCAATATACAGACTTTATATTTTATAAATAGGTAGAAGTTTCAGACAAAATATCCTATAATTTCTGTGGTGTAACATTTTTAAATAGCATTAAAAACACAAACCATCCAGCCCTTGTGATTATATATACAAACATTTGTGAATTAATAAGGCTCATAGGTACATATGCAAAAATAAAGTGTCCCTCCCCCCACCAAGAAACAGTTCTGTACAGCTAAGTCTGAAAACAGAGCAAGTTATTTAACACAGAACCTCCAAGGCTGGACGTGCAGCCGCATTTTCCATCCTTGTTCTCATTTCTGCTTTCAACTTGGCAACACACAGGAGTATTTACAAGTGGAAGAAGAGATGCCATGGCTGACTCTGCTGACCTGCAACCTGCCCAGCCAAGTTCCTCACAGGGCCTTGGTGCTGGCTGGATGTGCAGTGTGGGACACGGGCTTCTGAGGGTAGTGGCTGTACAAGTAAACCTGCAACAGGATAGCGATGTCCACAAATACCTGCAGGAGTCCACAGATGGAGAACTGGAAAGGGGCCTGATTCAGGATGAAGTAAACAGTCTTGAACGTGTCCCCACTGGTCCACATCAGCACCATCTTGATACTGAAAGACAGAAGAAAGGGAAGAGCGTTTGCTGAGAACTTGGTTTTGGATTAGACCTGCTGTGCCAGAGGATCCCACCTACTGCAGGCAGGATTTACAGCCAGCAGTGGGCTGGGACTCCGCTGGACAGGGGCAGACTAGCTGAGACAGGCAGCACTGCACTTGGAAGGGAGGATCAAACTCTCTGCTCCACAAACTGCAGCACTCTTATCTCAGCAAGCACAGCTCCAAACACCTGTGGCTATGAAGGTATCAAACATTTTCAAATCTCCAGCTAGGATATTTGACTCAGTGGTGCTCTGTAAACATGGCTGCCACATACTGCCAGCATTGACCACAGACCAAAGTAAAACAGTGCATGGAAAAGAACAACAATTCATCCCAGCAGTTACTTCTTGTGTGTGCCATTCTGTGCTCATGCAAGGTAAAGTAACACACACATTGCTCTCTCATGCATGCATGCTTTTAGCATCTGCTGAAACAAACAAAACAGATAGAAGAAACCACTTCTTACTGCAGAAAATGCCTAACTAAAAAAAGCAGACAGACAGATTGTCCAGTAATACAGAAAGAGCAAAAATTACATGCCTGCAGCTGTTGCTGGAAGGATGAACAGCACTAGGGATTTTTATCAAGGACACAGATCAAGAGCAATGCTCAAAGTTCCTTTTAATAACAAACTTGCTTTTATCTTGCTCTTCTGATAAGCATTTCCTGTCCTGTAGTCCAGCTCCTGCTCCCCTACATCACGAGAAACTCTGGGGAATAGAAGCAATTTCTTCAAACAGACCAAATTATTTTCAGTGTCCTCAACAAAATGCGAACAACCAAACCTGGAAGGCTGTTTCTGAGCTTCATGCACTTTATCAAGAGAGCTTTTTAAGCAGCTGGATAAGCAGCAGTGGACAAAAGCTTTGTAGTTCACAGTATGAGCACCACACATGATTTGTCATAATTACAAGCAATTTACATTTTGCCAGCACAGACTCCATCACACACAGTCAGGCCCATGCAGCAGGGCAGGACTTAATGTTCATTTTTCAAACACTCAGGCAGGAGCTCACAGGATTTGTGTTTTGGGCACAAGCACATAACGCATTTGCAAGCCAAATGCTGCAGCCCATTCTTTCCCCACATGGGAAGGGTGGACAAAGCATCAGTTTGTACAGCCCCATCACACCACAGAAACAGGAGCCTTTTCTAACTTGGGTTCTGTGGCCCAGAGCACAAAACAGGTCTGCAATCAGGACCTTTCACAGAATCTATGTGGAACTGCACGCAAGAATATGGGGTTAAGCGAGCAGTCATTCCTCACCCAAGGTCATTCTAAAAATGTAAATAAATAATCAGAAAAAGAAAAAAACTGCTGAACTCTACACGTCATTTGTGCTTGGTGCAAACAGCCTGCACCACCTGCCCTGTGCATGTTGCCAGTCACACCAAGTCACCTTACAACACACTTACAGGACGTTTATAGATGCAGGTGGTGGTCAAGGAATGATTGAGATTTTAATTAGGAAAGCAATAAACTCTGAGGGTAATAAAACTGGCAACTTGCTTGCTGGCAGTCAGTACTTCTCCACCTTTGATTTTAAGTGTATTAGTGCTTGCTGGGCAACTGACCACAATTTAATTGTGGATCTGTCCTGGCATAGCTAGGCACCCTCACTAAAAGCACATGCTCAAACTAACCGCTCACTGTTGACAGAAGGGCAATTCAGAGATACCATGAGATAGCTGAATAGGAATTTAACAAACATCCTTAATACAAAGGATATTTGTCACTCATTCCCAATGGAGAAAGCCAGCGGGGTTTTTTTGAGTAGAGTTAACCTCCTCAAAGAAAGAACAGTCAATCACTGAGGAAAACTTAAGGACACCTGCAGTTCAGCAGCACCCCAGGAGCCAAGCACACCTCTAACTGTGTCACATGCTGTGCCAGGCTTGCCAAAGCAAGTTTTGCTCAGAAGCAAGTTTGCTAGGAAGCCACCTGTGAACTCAACATTCTGCAACACCAGCTAGAAAACTGGTGCATGTTCTGATAGCCTCTGCACGTTCCAGAGCCCACACTCCAGCTCATACATCTGACTCTCAAGGACATCATCATCATGCCTGGAGTTCTCACTAGGAAATGACAACACTCCACACACATGAAAATCTCAACTTGTTCTTGACAAAAATGATCTTAAAAATGATACAGGTAGTTTTAAGAGCTAATGCCACTGGTCTGTGTATCAAAGAACCAGAGAAAACCTGCAAATCATCAAGGTACAATGCAAATAAAATACAGAAAATGCTTGATATCCCACAACACTCAGTCCTGCAGCTGTACCAAGGTATTCTCAGGGCTGATGCAAAGTAGTGACTGTGGAGTGCTGGCCGCCCTCCCAGAGGAGAGGCTGGGACTGGATAAAAGGAGCACATCCAGCAGGGACCAAAAGGTGCATGGAGTAATCACAAAAAGCTTAGCAAGAAAATGGGAACAGTGTCATGCAAGAGGAGAGAAAAGGAAATGAAAGACAATAGAGGAAAGCAAAGGAGACAGGAGAGGAGCCAAGAGGTTGGTCCTTGATGAGAAGAGGATAGAAAAAAGAGACTGGAACAGAACAGAGAATTATAGGAGTGGAAGAGAAATGGAAACTTGGTACACAAGTCCTTGAAAATGACCTGAATTTGGGGTAGACAGTTTGTATGGCAAGGTTTTGGTAGCAGGGGCCAGGGAGGCAGGCTACAAAGTGACTTCTGTGAGAAGCTGCCTGAATCTTTTCCTATGTCCAAGAGGGCCCAGGCCAGCTGGCTCCAGGATGCACCTGCCACTGGCGAAGTCTGAGCCCATCAGTGACAGTGGTAGCACTTCTGGGATAACATATTTAAGAAAGGGGAAAAAACTGCTGCACTGCCGAGCAGCCAGCTGAGAGGAGTGAGAACATGTGAGCGGAACAGCCCCGCAGACCCCAAGGTCAGTGCAGAATGAGGGGGAGGTGATGCCCCAGGCACTGGAACAGATTCCCCTGCAGCCCACAGTGAAGAGCATGGTAAAGCAGCTGTGCCCCTGCAGCCCCCGGGGGTCCTTGGGGGAGCGCAGATCCACCTGCAGTATTTGAAGGAACCCACTCTGGAGAAGGTGGATGCCCAAAGGAGGTTGTGACTCCATGGGAAGCCTGTGCTGGAGCAGGTCCCTGGGAAGTCCATGGAGAGGGCAGCCCACAGCAGCAAAGCTGGAGCAGCTTTCTGTCAGGACTTGTGAGCCCTGGAGCAATGGATGGAGCAATCTATCCCTGAAGGACTGCACCCCATGGAAAGGACACATGGGGACCCACACTGGAGCACTTAATGAGGAACTGCATACCAAGGGAAGGACCCACACTGAAGAATTACTTCAAGCACTGTCTCCCTGGCAGGAACTCCAAATGGAGTAGGGAAAGAGCATGAAGAGGACGGAACAGCAAAAGCAACATGTGATTAATTGTCCCTCTGTGCCATTTGTAGGGAGAATGCAGAGACGATAAAATAAAACTGAGCTTGGGAAGAAGGGAGAGGTCTGGGGAAGCTGTTTTAAGATTTAGGTTTATTTCTCATTATTGTACTCTGATTTTGATTGGCAATAAATTAAATAATTTCCTTGAGTGGAGTCTGTTTTACCTGTGATGGTAACTGGTGAATGATTTCCCTGTCCTTATCTCGACCCATGAGCCTTCTGTTGTACTTTTCTCTCCCCCTGTCCAGCCAAGAAGCAGGAGCAGTATGAGTGGTATGAGAAGTAAGCACTTGGCACTAGCCAACATCAATCCACCATGAGGGTAAAGCTAGGGAATGAGCAAAGAGGGGTGTGCTGGCCCAGGACCCTCACCTCACCACTCCAAGCCCCCAGCAATGCCCCCAGCACTCTCTCCAAGTCAGTACATGTCTCACTCCTCCAGTGCCCACTCCAAGGAGAGGCAAAGCTCCAAGTGCTGTTGGCCCTCTCCCATCTCAACCAGCACCCGTCTGCACACACAGCCTCAAAGTTTCAGCTTGCTGGGAAACCCCTTGAGTGTCTGTGTGACACCCTGGGGGAAAGAGAGCTGGCCCTGCCCCACTACATCACAGGCCTGAGATGGGCTAGATGAAGCTTACACCACCAACACAGCTTCTGTCAAGTCCTAGTTTCCAGATTCTCAGCACAACAGTAATGGTCCTCCTCCCAGTTTGGGATTTGCAATTGCTCTGTCCTTGCTGCATATGCAGATGTCACTTGCAATGATGCAGCGGTGCGTGTAGGACTATGAGGGATGGATGGCATGGATACAACTGTCACTGTTCTCATACCTTCCAGCTATTGTGCCACTTCAGAATGCCACATTGTACAGAAAAGCCAGTTTGTGTCTGCAGCTTCTCAACTTTATCCAGTCACCTGGGGAAGAGAGGTAATTCTTATATTTGGTCTAACTTTTGGGGTAGACAAGAAAGACACTATTCTAGCTCAGGCAGATAGCTGCCCCTTGCCTGCCCTGGTGGAGAAAAGAGCAGTGTCTGCAAAAAAGGAAGCATTTTACTGCCCACAAGAAATGGGAATTTTCATTTGGTTGTGGAGAAGAGAGAGCAAAAAATGGGAGAGCACACCAAAGCCCTTGCTTCACTGCTCTACTGTAACCCTGTATTTGCTGAGTGAATCACAGAAGCATTAGGTTGGAAAAGACCTTTAAGATCACTGAATTCAACCATTAACCTAAACTCACCCAACCATGTCAAGTCTACCTCTAAACCATGCCCCTAAGTGGTACATCTGCACATCTTTAAAATATCTCCATATTAAGGTGGATGTCAACCAGCATCCCCACGTCCTTTTCTGCTGAGGACCTCTCCAGTCACTCTTTCCCAAGCCTGTAGCTTGGGCTTGTTGCAACCCAAGTGCAGGATCCGCCGTTTGGTCTTGGTGATGCTCCTATAACCATCCTCAGCCCATGGATCTGCACCTTTGCCATGTGCCAGGTGTTGTGGGCTGGTAGATCACAGACTGG